CATTAAGCCAAAGTCTCTGACACATCGTGCTGAAGGGCTGAGAAGAAGTAAGTTCAACGTCTAAAAACTGTCGGTTCAGATTAAGTTGCCCTAGTTATATATCTGGTGAGAATTCGCTCGAACGGCAAAATATACTCTTCTTCAGCTGCCTTCGCCAAATTGCACGTTTTAAAGCATCAAAAATTTCTGCTAGATAGCTGGAAAAAAATCATTAAAATGTTGTGATCTAACTCGGTGTTAGGAACGTAAATCCTAAAACAGTGGTGCATCCAGCTAAATGAATCCGGGGACTAAATAACGTCCTAACATGATAATTTATAGCAGAACATCATCTTCAACTCTTCACTGCTTGCCATAACAGTAAGTTAAGGTAAATCAGGGGTTGCCAAAAGTGAAACCGTTGTGTTCGAGGTTGAGGTTGATATTGATGACTGATTTTCCAAAATTCAATATTGCATAATCCCCTTGAGAAGTGTGATCTCATTCGGTAGCTCCGCTTCAAACCAAATAAATAAACTTCGAAGTTTTGGTTTCCTACTTATTACTGTCATCGGTTAAGCCTTATAGTTGCCTCAGAAAAGACACGTAAGTAATATATTATTCACACATCTTCAAATTTTTTCCGAGATGCACTGATTAGTTCTATTAAAAGGATAAATGAAATTCACGATTATAATAGGCAAAGTAAAGCTCAATGAATGTAAGCTTTTTAGTAACGTTCTTCGGGCAGCTAAAAGCATATAGCTTGCAGTTAAGCTGCGACTCTCGGAGCAGTCAATAAACGGTAGCCACGGGAAAATGGGCGGAGGGCATTCATGCATACAAAAAATTACAGTTCACATCCGTTATTGGCATGAGGAATGGGAAGGAGCACCTGGCAGCGATTAATGCATAAAGTTTCCGCAATCTAGAATGGCTATAATTGCATGAGGCCGGATTAATTACTTTTTCAGATTATTATAGGTTGCTGCCATCTGAGGTTACAAATGAATAAACCGTAAGACAACAGTGAAATTAGATAAGCTGAGGTTCAGGCTTCATTCTCTCCTTTATGTGATATTGCACATCGTAAATCACGTTTTCTTCCAACTTTATGCCTTAAGGAAGGTTGTGGCGTTCAATTAGAGTTATAAGGTTGGAGACCGCGGGATTCATGAGCTCCTTTCACGTGAGCTCATTTATCTTTTATACGGCTGTGAACTGAGCTTTCGTTGGATGATCATAAGGGACTTCGGTGGCCTGGTTGCACTGTCAATCCTATCCGTAATTGTAGCTACGTCACCTTTGCTAGCAAACAAACAATGATACTATCATCCAATTTCAGGGATCGCAATCCCCTTTCTTCTTCTTCTTCTTCTTCATTTATCTGCTACGTTTACTGAGGTTTTTTTTCTGAAGGAAAATAAAAAGAGCATCTGCCCGTTTTCCTGTCTGCGCATTTAAACGCTGGTGCGACAATCCAACCTTTCACTATGAATTGCAGTTAACGACAGCTTGGTGGTACGGGTAGAGCTCTTTTATAGTTTTATATCTAGGACGTATAAACATATTTATTATAGGCAAAAAGACATTACTGACGAAGGCTGGGGAGGCTGGAATGACCATTTCTTGCATATTAGCTGTCATCAGTCATCCATAACCTACCCCAGGTGGTGTGTCACCCGAGATTTGAACCCGCGACGTGTTGGTTAGAAAATTAACGCTTTAACCCGCTGTGTCACGAGCTTGTTGTCTTTTCGGTTTCGATCGGGAATATTTAACATTGGTAGATTGGCGCTTACCAATTGGTTACGGCACTCAGTTATTGCACTGTGCATTGGGGTTCGCTCTAGAGCAAAATATTAAACGTTTAAAACTTACTTGAAGGAGGGTCGAACGACAAAAATCATGTCTTTTTCCCTAAATATTTCCCCCTTGTTTTCCACTACGGAACCATATTGCGCCTTCCGTATATCCAACTATAGGGACCAACCTTATGAATAATTCAGCTGATTTACATCCAATTTTTGCCGAACTTTCAGAAGATAAAGAGGAAGAAATAATCGACGAATCTTGTCGCGAGTACACCATCGAAACGCGGAATGGACGTCAACGAATGCGTCTACAGGTGCCTATCGATCCAATCTACTCGGCGGACGATATTACGGTAAGGCTGGATGACGGGAAACTGAAGGTGAGCGGTCGGGTGGAAAAGCCAAAGTCCGGCTGGAGACACAAGAGTTCAGGCGAAGATTACTTCTGTCGCACCTTCCAGGTTCCCAGAAGCATTGACCCAATGTCCATCGAGGCAGAATTGCAAGGCTCATATCTGATCATTGAGGCCGACCTCTGAGGCAAACTAGCAGACGTCCTTGCGTCCGCATCATTGCGCAACGTTTCTGGTCTTCAAGATAACTAATTTGATTTCACGATGACGCTTTATATCAATGATGACTACTGAATTAATTCTAAAACAGCCAGATGTCATTTTCGGTTCTATTCAGTACACAATGCCTTCCGATGCAAGGTTTTTATACGCATTTTACTGAAAAATAAAGGCGTATTCTACCGTAATTCCCGAAATCTACAAATTAAGCGATCAGATAATTTGTCTTACTGAGTGTCTCCATCGCAGT